GTATTATTTGTTGAAACTGTACTTCCGATTTGATTTGAAACTGTCTCATTGCTATATGTTTATCAATAAAACTGTAGAAAAAAAAATAAAAATAAAGGAGCCAACCAAAAAAAAAAAAAAAAAAATTAATGGGCACTTAGGTTACTTTCAATTTTGAGGCAAAACAATACAGCTGTTGTGAGCATTCTTGTACATGTGTTTTGGTGCATGCACACACCCGTATATTCCCTTTCCTTTCTTTCATCCTCTTCCTTCCAATGGATTGGTTCGGAACTCTAGAATCATTTGAAAAAAATGTGATTGGTGATAATGGGAATCCCTGTTCTATTTCTGATTTTATGGGAATAGTTCTTACATGTTAATATCTTGAATTACGTTTGCTTTGGGCTTTGGGTAGTCTTTTTAAAGCAAATATTATTTGTCCCTGTTTTATAAAAAGTTTTCTTTCAGATGATTTGCTTTTAACATATTTATTAAGGTAGTTAATTATTGATACAATCCATCACCCATCTTATTTATATTGGGGATTTAGCCTAGAAAATGTTAGGCTGCGTCACTTGCCCTTTTTATTGTTTTCTTATTTTGAGACAAGATCTCATTGTGTTGCTTATGCTAGTCTCAAACTTGTGATCCTCCTTCCTCAGTATCCTGAGTAGTTGATATGACAGATATCAGCATACTCATCTTTGTGTGTGTGTGTGTGTGTGTGTGTGTACGTACACATGTGTATGTTGCTAGGGATCTAACTCAGGACCTTGCATAGGCTAAGCAAGCAGGTTCCTACTCAGCTACATCCCCAGCCCTTCCTCTCTTTTAGTCTATTACATGGCAACTGAGCATTCGTAGCTTTTCTGTTGTTAAACTGCTTTTGTGTTCATGCTATGAACTCCTTCGTGTTTTTGATGGTTTACTTACACATTAATTGATATATTATTTCTCTATATCTGGGTTTATTGTGTATGACTATTAAGATTTTTTAGTCTATATTTGTATGTCAGATTAGTCTTAATGTAACTTTTAATATTGATGGGCATAACTTTCCATGATCCTTGTCTGCTTTTGATATCAAAACAGTATTAGCTTTGTTATAGTTTGTATCTTGATGTTCCCCTAAAGCCTGATGCAGTCATAGGTGGGGCTCTTGGTGTTTGCTGGATCTAGGGTGTGATGCTGTGATTAGTGGTGCAGTGCTGGGAATCAGGGTGCCCCGTCCTGGGTGTGAGTGCTGCCTGCCCTGAGGGTGGGTAGCCTGGATGGAATATAAGGGCCAGAAAGGGGGCTGCTGCTGTCACTTGCTGCTTGGTGCCTGCCCTGCTTTGCCATGAGCTGTTTCCTCTGCCTTTCTGCCATTGCACCCTGCCTTGGAGCCAGCCAACTATAAACTGAAAGGTTTACTGTGAGCTACAATGGATCTTTTCTTCTTTAACTTTGGGTGTCAGGTATTTTATCTCAGCAATGAGAAAAATAACTAAGCAAGATTTATGATGTGAATTGGAGTACATTTCTTTCTCTTACGTGAATGAATGATCTGTATAGTTAGGATTATTAGTTCCTTACCTAAATGACAGAATTTGACTGTAAAATCATCTGGATCTGAAATTTGTATATGCATATTTGTGTGTGTGATCTGTGTAGATTAATAGATTTAGTTTCTTTAATGACCTTAAGGTTGCTTAGATTTTTCTCTTTCTTCTTGACTAAGTAACTTATTTGTTTTCAGGAAAATTCATTTTTTCTGAGTTGTCAAGGTTGGTTGTTGCTTTAAAGTTATGTGTGATAGTCTCTTAAGATTATTAAGGCCTAGGCCGGGGAGATAGCTCAGTGGTCTAAAGCACCTTCTTAGGCAAACTGAGGCCAAAGCTCAGGGACCAAGGTTTGATCCCAGGCACCACATGCCACACTAGCCCTACCCCCAGGGAAGGCTGAGCTGACCACACAAAAAAATAAATAAATAAAATAAAATTATATATATATAAAAAAAAAGATTATTAAGGCCTGAATGTGGTGGCAGGTACTTATGATCACAGCACCCTGAAGGTGGAAGCAGGAGAATCACAGCGTTTGGGGCCAATCTGGGCCACATAGCAAGACCAAGACTCACCTGAGCTAGGGAGACTCAAAAAACAAAACAAAGCAAAATGAAAAAAACCCTATTTACTTAATAGTCTAGCAAGTAACATATCCATTATTTCACAATTTTACTATTTATTGTGGCAAGAGTACCTAAATTGTTTTAGCAAAAATCTCTAATAACAATTAATATTATTAACCATAGCCTTTGTGTTGTACGTTTGATTTTGAGACTTACTCATCCTGGATATTAGCTATTTTGTATTCTTTGATCTCTCCTGCCCTGATCTGTTTTAGTCTCTTATTTCTGTGTTTTGTTTTTCTTTTTAAGAATCCACCTGTATATAAGTGAAATCCTGCAGTATTTTCCTGTGTCTGCCTTATTTTACTTAGCACATTATGCATGTATTCATGTTGGGACAGATAGCAGAATCTATTTTCAAGACTGAATATAACCAAAAAAAAAAAAAAATTACATATATGTATGGAGTGGGGGGGGGAGAGAGAGAGAGAGATGTTCTTTATTCGTTTTTCCCTTGATAGGCACTTTGGTCGTTTTCTGTATCTTAGTTATTATGAGTAATGCTTGGTTCTTTTCTTGTAAGTACTTAAGACTGTGTGTTTCTACTTAAATACAACGTTTGAGTGCTTCCTAAACATGGTTTTTGGTTTTTTTTTTTTTTTTTTTTTTTTCAGAACCGGGGATTGAACTCAGGCCCTTGTGCTTGCCAGGGAAGTGCTTGTACTGCTGAGCCATTTCCCCGGCCCTTATTTATTTATTTATTTATTTATTTGGCAGAACTTGGGATTGAACTCAGGTCCTTTCACTTGCCAGGCAAGTGCTTATTCTACTCAGCTGTCTCCCTGGCCCTATTCCTAAACATTTTTAGTGGAAAGTACTTTTTTTTTTTTGCGGAACCAGGGATTTGAACTCAGACTTTTGCGCTTGCCAGACAAGCGCTTATTCTACTGAACCATCTCCCTGGCCCCTGGAAAGTATTTTAATTAGGGTCATTTCTAAATACTTTCAAATTTTTGTTATGGATTTCTCCATAGTTCATGAGTGTTTATTATTTAGACTGTTTAAAACTTTTATGTATTTCTTTTTAGTCCATGAATATTTAAAATGTTCAAATATTTTCAAAACATATGGTTGTTTGGGGATAAACATCTCACTGTGATCAGAGAACATACTATATGATTAGTTTCCTTGATATTTGTTGAGATTTGCTTTGTGGAATTAAAAAAATGGTTATCTTGGTGCTGATGAGATAGCTCAGCAGACTAAGTGCCTGCTTAGGCAAGCTCAGGGACTGGGGTTTGATCCTGCACGCCACGTGCTGCACTGGCCCTGCTCCTGGCCGTGCTGAGCCGGCCATGAAGACTGGGCATGGTGGCGCATGCCTGTAACCCCAGCACTGGGAAGGCTGAAAATAGGAGGATCACTATGAGTCTAAGCTGTGTAGTGAGACCTGTACCAAATACACTAAAAAAAAAAAATTTAAAAAAAAAAAAAAAGGTTATCTCATGTAAAACCTGAAGCGTGCTTGTGTGCGCTCTTATTCTTGGGTATATAGTTCTATATGTGTTCATTAGATCAAGTTGACTTATATGGACAGATTTTCTATATATTTATTTTTTCTTTTTTTGTATTAAACCCAAGATCTTTACACTGACCTACATCTCCAGCCTTTATTTTTTAGTTTTTATTTTGAGGCCTGGTCTTGCTAAGTTGTTCCATAGCCCAGGCTAAGCTCAATTTGCCATCCTCTTCCTTCAGCCTCCCAGAGTGCTGGGATTACAGGTGTGTGCTTTACTTCCTTTTTTTATTTGCTCAGTTTATCAGATTCTTTACCATATTGGCAGTACTTTTTGTTCTTTCAATGACTTAATTTGTATTCTTTTTTTTTTTTTTTTTTTTTTATTGTATTTAGTACAGGGTCTATAGGGTCTTACTATATAGATCGGACTCCTAGTGATCGTCCTGTTTTTAGCCTCCCAAATGCTGGGATTACAGGCATGTGCCACCATGCCCAGTCTCAGTCACCATCTCAGTGTGCCCTGGGGGTGGGGCCAGCACAGCATGCAGAGGATCAAACCCCAGTCCGTGCACCTACCTAAGCAGGAGCTTTAATCTGCTGAGCTATCTGGCCAGCCCTTTTAATTTGTATTCTTGTAGCAACTGTGCAATGTAGACATTAGTATTTCTCTTTTACAATAGGGAATTTAATACTGAGAAAGATAGGGTAACTTACCCAAGGTAAAAAGTGTAATATGCATTATAGTCATAATTTAATGAGGAATACCTGATTAAGTATGGGCCCTAAATAATGTCTGAGAAAGTACACAGCATGAAACTGGGAATCTGGTTGACACTCAGTAAATATAGGCCCCCTTTTAGGTCAGAGAAAATGTTTATAATTTTCTAGCACTTGACATTTTGGCTCGCACACAGTGGGACTTTACTAATTACATATTGTCTCTGTGTGTGCTGCTAATCTTCTGTTCACTGAATGTTTACTTTCTAGCCAAAGGGAAAGGACAATCCCAAACCAGAGTGAACATTAACACAGCTTTGGTTGAAGATATAATCAACTTGGAAGAAGTGGATGAAGAAATGAAGTCTGTGATAGAAGTACTCAAGGATAATTTCAATAAGACTCTTAATATAAGGACTTCGCCAGGTTAGTTACTAATATTTCGGGAAAGGCCTAGTACAAACAGTGTGGCTTTGACAGAGCTGAGTTTTAGTCCTAACTTTGACACTGATTTAACTGGTGACTATGGCCAGTTGTTTTGGGTCCTCAGTTTCCATATTTACATGCTGTGAACTAAGCTTTGTGCGGGTCACAGCAGTAAGCAAAAATAGTTGTTATTACACTAATTGAATCACACTCTCAAAAAGTAGGAGTTTTATTATGACTGTACTATAAACATATCTAAGTGTTCAGGCTCACAGTTCTGACATCCTTGGTCTGATACTTCCAATCTGTCCTATTTGCCAGTTCTTATCCCTTACTGGGAACCAAATAGCCACAGACCTGCCCACCTGAGGCCTTCCTATAACCCTGCGCCTGACCAGGAAGATTCCTTTTGGGTTAATAGCTTCCTGAAAGTGGCTTTTCTAAATGGGAAATGTCAGAACTGTCTAGGAGAACTGTTTGCAGATGTGATGGAGAAGTGAGTTGTCAACTAATGGTGCAAGCAGGCAGGAAAAATCCAATTGCTGTTAAATTGGCCTTTTGCAAATTGTCATCATCCTATAGTTAAGCCTGGGACCCCCTCTGAAGTATCTGTGGGAGTTGGGGCTGTTCTCAGTCACGTCTTGTTCGGGGAGTTGTTAAGGAAACTAGAAAATATTTCATGAACTAGTTTTTAAGACAGCCAAATGAAAAATACATGGCTCCCCTTATAAACAGTATCAGAAACATACCAAGTTCAGAGATGAGATCCAGTGTGAAACTACAAGACCATTCCCGTCATTTGTCAACCTCTGGACTGGGGCACTTTTGCCTTTGCTGACAGTAGAGCGTGCCATTCAATCTCTCCCAACTGTTTATTTTAAACTTGCTTATTATTTTAGGTATGAAACTGATAAAGTGTTCTGTCTCCCCTGTGCTTTCGGGCCTGTTAACATTCTGCAGCCGAAACCAGAGAGCAGCTTGAGAGGAGCTCAGGGAGAAATGTGATACTTAAAATTAGCCAGCAAGCTCTACTCTTGTTGAACTTAAAAAGATGATGGGCCTGGAAAGAGGTTGGGAGTGTAATTTGTTAAATGTTAACCTCTGAGAAAATGAGGGGCAAGAATGAGGCTGAGGGAGATTCTCGCTAGGGACAGATTGAGGGAAAAGGATTTGATGCATTATGTCAATACAGATTTAGGGAATGGGAACCACCACAATTGCATACCTAAATGCCCATATTGGGACTTCTGTGGTGAAGGATCTTGTGGCAAATCAGGAAAGCTGAGTTAAGATCCATTTTCAAAAGGCCTCCTGTTGGTATTTCCTCTTTGCTTCTTTTCCTTTAGGGTTATATTTGTGTAACATTCTGTGTAGAACCTGGAGCCATGAAAGGATTGGGTGCAATAGGCTAAACTTAACCAAATCCTTTTTGCCAGAGGTTTCCATATGTTCTTTCATTATTATCTAAAACAATAAGCACTTTTCCTCTTGGACTTCTGCCTTCAACTCCACCCCTGTGCTAGGCAAGCACTTTATCACTGAGCTACATCCCCAGCCCTAGTTGATACCTTTTAATAGCTAAGATACGGGTTTATATTGTTCTTCTTTCCATCTGTCCATCCATCCATCCCATTCATGCTTATTTTGAGCTTATTACTTTAATAAGTAATAGATACAGCCTATTACTGTAATAGGCTATAGATGTAGAAAGAAAAGACATTGTTTTTGTATTCCAGGAGCCTAGAACCTACTATGGAGGATCAAAAAAATCGAACAACATGTGTAAAACACTCTGGCAAAGTGGAGCAGTGAAAATTTTTGATTTGGAAATGGTCAAATCTGGGTTTGAATTCAGGCATCATTATTTTTTTGTTGAGAATGATTACTACATTTTTTGGTGGGGCTCTTTTTTTTGGGGGGGGGGCTCTTTTTAGTAGTACATGTTTGTACTACATAACAATTATAAGGAGTCAGTACATGTACATAACACCTCTTAATCCTTTTTTGTACCCTGCCTCTCCCACTCCTCATTCTTTTTATCATTTGTTCCCTTTACCATTTGCAAAAGCTCTATTTCCATTGCTTTCTTTTGGTTTTTTTTTTTTCATCCCCTTTACATCCTCTTCTTCACACCTCTCTCTGTCCCTTGATTTATATTTTGGGCTTCTCATATAAGATCTCTTATGTCTAATTTCATTTAATATTTTTTTCATTATTTATTTTAAAAAGAAAAAAGATACATATAACAATGAAACTCAGTTTCAAAATAGGTTATGTAGACAGTTACAGTAGGTTTTTTTTTAATTTTAAAGAGCGAAACAACAAAAAAAGCAACAAAAACAAAAATGATAATTTCCAAACAAGAATTGAAGATTAACAGTGGTTGTTATATATTGTTACCATATTTGTTGCTGAGATTATCAGATATAGGTATGCATGATTGATCAAACCTTAACTCTTCTTGTAATAAACCAATAGAGATTAGTAGTACAGTTGTCACTTAATATTATGATCTCAAGGTGAATTCATATACCTATGAGTGCCCAGGATTCATTATTTTGTTTTGTTTTTTCACTATGCAGTTCAGGCTTCCTTGAATTCACTGTGGAACCCAGGCTGAACTTACAGTGATCTTCTTGCCTCAGCCTTCTTAGTGCTAGGATTACAAGTGTGCACCACCATGCATGGCTCCATTATTAAAAGATGTTATGAGTTTGGGCAGTTTACTCTGTATGTCTAAAGTTTCCTCATCTGTAGACTAGTGGAAATAATAAATACAGGGTTATTGCAATAATGAGAGAATTCAGCATGATGTGCCATTGTGCCCAGCAAGAAATTATAACTAGATTATTTTCATTAAAACATAGGTGAATGTCAAGAAGCAGTAACATTATTGGAACACAGTATCAATGCATTTCATATTGCCTTTCATTTAATCCTCATAAGCATCCTCTACATTTTTTTTTTTTTCTTTTTAATCTTATTTATTTGTTTGGTACAGGGTCTTGCTACACAGCTTGGACTTGTAGTGATCCTCCTGTCTCAACCTCCCCAGCACTGGGATTACAGGCGTGCGCCACCACACCTGATTTTGATGGCAGGCTCAGCATGGGCTTGGCACAGGCTCAGCAGGCCGTGCGGTACTGGGGATCAAGCCTGGGTCCTTGTGCTTACCAGGCAGGCACTTAGACCACTGAGCTGTCTCCCCAGCCCCAATATCCTCTACAATTTTTATGTCTCATTTAGAGATGTTGAAGCAGCTCCAGGAAGTTGAAGGGATCTTCCCATGATCTCATAATCTGGAAGTGACAAAACTGGTGTTTGAACTCAGATCTTTGGTCTTCAGAATCTTGGCAACTTGTACTGTTAGACCTCCTGGACTTTTCCTGGTTGGTCAGTGGTGTCAGCAACTTGCTGATGACATCGAAATCTTATTGAATACTTGAAATCAGATCTTCAGCTAATACAGTATGATACTGTATTAGTCTAACAACATATTGCAGGAACGACTCCAATTTGTTTAAAAGATTCATTCTACCCTTCCCCCTTTCTCTTTGTGTCTCAGAATGAGCCATCCACGAGTGGTTCCTACTGTGGCTAGGATTTTCTTCTAGTTCTCATTTACATAGGAAATCAGGGAGTTTGAATAATATCCCTTCTGTACCTATGGCTTTGTTGCTTGCCTTTTTGGATTTTTTAAAATTTTGCTCCAGGTTTTCCAGAATTTAGATAAGAGTATGATAATGATGAAGTGTTAGTAGGGTTTTGTTTGTTTGTTTGTTAAGTAGGTTTGTTTCTGAAGGGGATCTAGGCACCAAAATCAGGGGCAGTATGAAGGAATGTCAGAGTCATGTGGTAAACTTAAAAAAAAAAAATCACAGGACCCTGCAAAAATCACAGGCTTTCCTCCACAGAATCAAAATCTTTGTGGGGTGGGGGGTGGGGTGCCTAGGAATCTAAATTAAAAGGCTCCCTAGTGATTTGGATGAACAACCAGATTTGAGTCCTACTTGTATAAGGTAAAGAACCTTGATTGATATCAGAATTGAGCACAGCTGGGTTTGGCCTTTGATTTTTTTTTTTTTTTTTCCCCCTTTTGTTAGCTGTATGATCTTGCCTCATTTATCTTTCTCAAGTCTCATATTCTCAATATACAGGAAGGAGTACAGTGTTATAGGATAGATATTCCTCAGAACTGAAAGGAATAATAGAAAACTTGTTTGGGCTTAGATTTTGGTCTTTGTTTTATACTTGCTTTATATTTAGCTACAGTCCTTTAGCCCCCACTTTAATTCTCGAAGATATTTTTTAGCTACTTGTCAGAGGTTTTATAGTTAGTAAATGATTTAGCTGCTATTAGTCTGATCAAATTTATTTCTAAAAGCTCTGTGTTATAAGGCAAGACAGAATAGCTGCTCGCCCTAGATGCTTAGTAATGAGTTCTGACCTAGTTCACATTTCAGGCTCTTTCCATGACATGACACTGTTACTCCTACTAAAGCCTCCAAACAATCTTATCACACAGAATCCCTGAGTTATTGTAGAATCTGAACGAGAAGAGGATTTAGAGGATGTAGAGCTTTTAAGATCATTTTGAATTCTAAAGCCGTGTAATTTTTCTTTTAGGATCCTTTGATCATATTACTGTGGTAACTACTGATGGGAAGCTTGCTTTAAACCAGATTAGCCAGATCACCATGAAGTCGCCACAGTTGATTTTGGTGAATATGGCCAGCTTCCCAGAGGTAAGGTAACCTTGCTGAGAGGGTACCTCTCTGCCATCTCTTTTGGAATGAATGGAGGAGGTGAGTCAAGTCAGGAGAAAGTGATCCCTTCAGTTGTGATGAAACAGACTTACTAAAGGGAACTCAAGGATAGGGAAAGCTTTCTTCTTCTTTGAATTCTTTTTTCTGTCAAACTCAAATGTGATGGAGGTCAAGCAAGTAATTTAAATTCTAAAATGGATTCCATCTAAGAAAAGTAGGGATGGAGATACAGTGATTGATGCTTGGCCAGTGAGGGGGACTCTGGTAAACTGGAGAGCTGGTGCTCAGTCTGAGGGCGGCCTCTGCTCATTTGCTGCTCATCATCATCATTGCTAAGCAGAAATAGGGGTCTGGAAATCATTGTTAATAGTGTGATGTTACTTCTATAATAAGCTGGTCACTAAATGTTGATGACTAATTCATTTTTCTTTTTAAAAATTTTGTGACAAATTAATGAGCCAGGAATGATCTGAGAGGCATCGGTTTATGGCCTCTGCATTGATCTGAGAGGCATCAGTTTATGGCCTCTCCATTAGTACTTGGAGCAGACCCCGTAGGGATCACATTCTTTTTAGACTAAACCGACCTTTGCAGAATATTGCGTGGAGCATAATGGACGACTAGAAGATAGGTTGCACTGCATCCTATCTTGAAGGTGTATGATTTTAAGTCTAGTTGTGGGGTTGGGCCTCTCATGGATCTACTAGGAATTTGTCTGGATTGAGAGGACTAGAAGAACTGGGGACTGGTCCGATCTCCACTTCTAACTGGTTGTTTGACCTTGGGCAATTGGCCCTCAGTGGGCCTCCAATTCCACATCTGCTAACATGAAATTTATAAGTCTTCCTTTTCTGATAGTCTTTTTTAGTAGCTCTGTCCTAAAGAGATAGACCAGCTGTATTCAACAGAATAGATTAGGGATTGTAGAAAGGGAAAACTCTCACTCGGGACATACTATTTCGAATCAGGGCTCTTATAAATAATGTCAGGCACATTTGTGGGAATACTGTTATCACTGTCACACTCCTCTCCATTTGTAGCTAGATTTTAAAAATACTGTATATATTTGATTATATCATGGACAGCTTTAAATCTGTCAGTTGATTTAAGTAATTTTTTTTTTTTTTTTTTTTTTTTTTTTGTATTTTAGGTCAGGGTCTACAGGGTCTTACTGCGTAGATCAGACTCGTAGTGATCCTCCTGTTTTACAGCCTCCCTAGTGCTGGGATTACAGGCATGTGCCACCACATCCAGTCTCAATCACTGTCTCAGCACGCCCCAGGGGCGGGGCTAGCACAGCAGGCCCGGGGATTGAACTCCTGGTGCCTGCATCTGCCTAAGCAGGTGCTTTAATCCGCTGCACTATTGGCCAGCCTTGATTTAAGTAATCTTTAATAAATTAGAAGTCCAAAGTCTTTATTGTAGCCCGGAAGACTTGGCATGGCCCGGCCCCTCCCTTCTCTGTTCTTTCCAGTTGTTGTGCCACTCTCATCCTTGCACATTGCTCTACCCACATTGGCATTTGAGTTCTTCAGAACGCTGAGTCCTTTGCACCTGCAGGGCCTTTGCATGTACCATTCCTTTTACTTGGAGCACTCTTGGCTAATGGGTACTCTTATTTTGGATCACAATATAAGTGTTACTTTCTCAGGGAAGCCTTCTCTAACTTGCCAAATAGTTCTCACATGCAGCACAATGTTTTTCATTACACTTAGCACTATTAATAGTTATACATATATTTACATGGTTATTTCCATCTCATTTTTACTAGATTATAATTTTGAAATACAGGAATCATCTCTAACTTGTTCACTATGTCTAGTATCAAAGTTCCTGGCACAAGGAAGCACTCAGTAAATTGAGGGGGATGAATACTTGTCGTTAGTTTGATGGAAGGGTGGCAATCATTCCTGGTGTTACTGAGAAGCACAGAAGTGGACAAAAAGGGAGCTGTCAGCTTTCCTCTACTGGCCTTCTAAACTACTGAGGCCTCTCTGCCTTGTTCATCTAATCCCATAGGCACTGTGGGCCAATTTAGGGAATAACCTCCTAATTACACAGCTTGAAGACCTCATCAAGCAGATTGCTTTTTAGAGCCAGCCACTTCTGTTGTTAAATGCAGAGAAAGCTTCTGATTGGTCACTAGAGCATCTTAGGAGGCAGGAGAAGGTATTAACAGCTTAGTTTTTTCTTAGAAAGTTAGACTATACTGTCATCTTTCAACCAAGGCATCTTTGCCAGCTCTCCAAGTTGAACTGTCATAGGTTTTATAAAAAGCTTAACAAGCACTGCAATAGAGGTTCATTTATAGGGACAGAGTGAGGAAGAGTGAGATATTTTGTCTTTTAGATTCCTTTATCTCATCTGGTGTATATATTAAACAAATAGCTTTAACTAAACATTTCCTTCCTCCGGTTTAGAAGCTGTCTATGGAGTACGCAGTTTTATAGCTTCATAATGCTGAGTTAATCCACTGTGTTTATATAATCCCTTTGTGTTTCACATGCAGTTGGCTTTCCTTCCAAATGTGAGCATTTCTGTGTCATGCCGTAGTGACATGATACAGATTTACATGCATAATCTTTTTGAATGCGTTGAAGACAGAAAACTGTGTTGCATTTGTTTAACACGTGTCCTGCTTGATAAATGATATACACAATTGCTGCCTCCCATAAACTTGCCTGCAGCTAGAGTTAATTATGGAAAAGAAAAAAAGAAACAAAAACTACAGTATCATTTGAACAAAACACAGCACATTTTTTAAAAGAAAATATTCCACAGGTTCCATTATTTTTGCAGAGGAAAAGAAGTAATGTGTATGGAATGTCTGTTGTGTTGCCAGTCACTTTCAGCATATTTTGTTTCACAAGATCAACAGCAAAAATAGCATTATTATTCTATTTTATAGGTAAGGAAATGGAGACTCAGAAGTAAAGTGTCCCTAAATTCATCTTGTAATAGAACCAGTTTAAATATGGCTCTTTGACACAAAGTCCTATTTTCCTTTCACTCTTTATTCATTAATTCAGCATATATTTTCTGAGCAAATGATTAAGTTCTATTTGAGGTTCTAGGAATTGATAAGATTAGATCTCTGTTTTCATGCACCTTAGATTCCAGAAATTCTTTGGGGTATAAAGAAAATGAAAGGCTAGTAGTTGATATAGCACTAATAGAATTGACATGTTATGGTCTATATCTGAATGTCCTCCAAAAGCCACATGTACTCAGAGATAGAGCTTTTGGAAAAGGATTGAACCACAGGGGCATGATAGCTAAATGTGGTATTAGGAGGTGAGGCCGAGTCCAAAGAGGTGGTTCACTGGGCTTGTGACCTTGTAGGATATTTATTCCAACTTTGATAATTTGTACTCAGAGGTACTGATTTAGGAACTTAACATTTTACACACTGACTACAGATTCTGTGTGTGGCCTCCCTGGGGAATTACTCATCTTCTGTGTAGATGTTCTAGTTTGTTTGTTTATTTTGACCTTATAGTAAAACCTCGTATAGGAGTAGAATTAAGGTCATTCAAAAATGAAATGGATGAACTATTTAGGCATCTGCTCCCATATGACAATAGCAAATACCTGAAAAAGTAAAATAGATGCATATTACCCTTATTCATTTGAATTATAAAGGCTAAGAGGAAAGGCCAGCCAGATCACTCAGTGAACTGAAGTGCCTACTTAGGCAGGTGCAGGGACTGGTGTTCGAGCCCTGGCATGCTGTGCTGGCCCTGCCCCAGGGCCCACTGGGTTGGAGACTGAGACTGAGCATGATGGCACGCGCCTGTAATCCCAGCACTTGGGAAGCTGAAAATAGGAGGATCACTATGAGTCTGATCTGTGTGGTGAGACCCTGTACTAAATATTAAATAAATCTAAGAGGAACTAGAGGCCAGGAATTTTCCTATGTATCCAAGTGATGTTCATTGGCTCTGATCAAACTTGAAATTCTTTTGAAAATGTCTAAGGCCTTTGCATGAATTCCACCTTGTTCCAATAGAGTTAACTTTCTCCCTGGCTGCTTTCTTTTTATTCTTTACTGTTGCTGTATCAGGTGTAGTTGCATATTGATCAAGTATGAGGCAAGGTGCTTTGGTAAATCAAATATGAGGCAAGACACTATAGCATACTAGTACACCAGCTGTCACAGATTCTGTCATATTAGTGAGCACATCTGTTAGAGAAGCCCTAAAGGATGTCAGAGGGCTGAGGAGATAGTGCCGTAGAATAAACGCCTGCCTGGCAAGTGCAAGGTCCTGAGTTCAATCCCTGGTACCACAAAAACAAAACAAATAAAAGATGTCAGGCAGAACAGCAATGCATCAGCTAAATGACATCACCTCAGCCTTTTGGTGCTGTGTGTTTTTAATAGATGTATGTAATTTATGCTCTGACTGCTGTTACTGTGTGCCAGACACAGAGCAAGACACAGTGCTCGTGTTATCTCACTCTGTGTTAGGGTTTTAGGTGCCATGTCTTCGATGATTCTGAAGGCTAAATAGTTCATCCATTTCATTGTTGAGTACCTTAATTCTACCCCTATATAAGGTAGTAAGTACTATGAGGTTAAAAAATAAACTAGAACTTCTACACAGAGATGAGTGATTCCCTAGAGAGGCCATGTGCAGATGGCTGTATCTGTCATAAAACACTAAGTTCCTAAAACAGTACCTCTGAGTACAAATTATCAGAGTTGGAATAAATATCCTACAAGGCCATAAGCGCAGTGAACCACCTCTTTGGGCCAGGCCTCACCTCCTAATAATACCACATTTAGCTATCATGGCCCCGTAGTCCAATCCTTTCCCAAAAGCCATTGCTCAGAGCCACATGGTTATCAGAGCTAGGGTTGAACTGAGCTCATTATGACTCCAAAGTCCATGCTTTCAACTACTGTACCACACTGCCTTTCCTTGAGCCCACACCCATGGAGATTTACTGTACTCTGTGAATGAGCTTGGTGTGAGTGTAGATGTGAATGAGTTAAATTTATTTACTTATTGCAGTTGGCACTGGTATATTCTGAGTGTAAAATGTCAATTGGAATTTTTAACGTATGAAATCTTTCATCTGTCTTTACACTAATCTTTGCAGAGACCAGCCCTCCTCCCTTGAGGATTTATTGTGGTTTTGATCTGTGTTGCCTCAAACCATTGAAATCTTTTCAAAGAAACAGAGCTGTTTTCTTTTTATTTTTTCTTTTTCTTTTTTTCCTTCCGCAGTACACTGGTACCAGGAGTGGACATAGTTTGCTATTCAGCTTGATCAAAGCACTCTACACCAATGTAACTTCCTGATCTTACTGGTAACAGAACTAAATGTTTCCATGTTCTGCCAAGATGGGTTGCCAGTTATCGACAGAGGGCTTGCATCTGGTAATAATTATTTACTAATTCTGTTTACCTTTTGATCTGGTTTTCAGTGTACAGCTGCAGCTATCAAGGCTATAAGAGAAAGTGGAATGAATCTGAACCCAGAAGTGGAAGGGACGCTGATTCGGGTACCTATTCCTAAGTAAGTTGGCTGAAGTTCACATGTTTCATGAACTGGGGTGATTGTCCTTGTAAGGAAATCAATACCTTACTATACCATCAGGTCAATAGCATGTGGTACCTGTGTCTGTTTTCCTAACAAACATCTTTTAAAATCAAGTTTACTGATTTAGAAGTATTTATTGTTTGTCTATTATGTGCTAGGTGCTGGGTATGTAGCAATAAGCTTGAGAAATGTCTTGTCCTCATGTAGTTTACATTCTGGTTGATAAGTTAGAATAAGTAGATATGAAATGGTATGAAGAAAGACAAACCAGTGGCATGCAATAGAGTGATTTGCTAAGGGTGATTGTGGTAAGGGTAGGAGGTGATATTCCTGCTGAGACCTGAATGGTCTTAGAAGAGCATCACCAGCCTAGGGGAAGAGCATTCCAGGCAGAGTGAATAGAAGCACACAGGCCCTACATCAGAAAAACACCTTGACACATGCAATCCCTGACCTCTGTTTCTTGAAGAGTACTCTTTGCTAGTCGAAGAATTTTAGATACAAGAACAGAACATAGTTAAATATGAAAATAGAACTTAAAAATTTAAATGACTAAAAATTTACATTTTTTAAATTAAAAAAAGGAAATATTTTGGCATATTTAAGTAAGCCAATATGTCTGGAACTTGAGACAGAGGGGCTTGGACTGGTCAGGAGAAGCTATGATGTCAGCTTAATAGGCCATGGTAAGGAGTTTGGGCTTTATTGTCATTGTAATAGGAAGCAATTGGATTGGAGCAAAGGATTAATTTGATAGTGGACTTTTCTCTGGCTGTTATTAACATATGGAATATAGAAAACAAAGTAGACCCAAGATAATTTTCTTTCCAGTTATAAGAACCTAGGTTCTGAGAGGTAAAGTAGTACCTCTGAGCCCATCCAGCTTATACTGAAGCTGGAATCTAAGCCCAGGCTTAGAATAAGTAGATATGAAATGGCCTGAATATCGAAGCAATATCAAAGCCTCATTATAGCAACAAGACTTAAGCCCAGCGCTGAGAAACCACAAACTTCGTGGTTTTTTTTTTTTTTTTTTTGCGGAACCAGGGATTGAACTCAGACCCTTGCACTTGCCAGGAAGCGCTTACTCCATCCACTGAGCCATCTCCGTGGCCCTGAGACCACAAACTTTCTGAGCAGAACTTTTTCCTGTATTATGTTTGTTATGTCCTTTATCTTCTATTAGGCTGAATTAAGCCCATGCTTTGAAATCCTGTACACTGGAAACAACCTTGTTTAAAATTCATATAGACCTGGCACAAGTGTAGTAATTAATTTGCTTGGTAAGTTTATTGATTTGTTCAGTGAGTCTATGGAGAGTGTGTGTTACGAGAGTCCATTGGGAGTTCCAGACCTCATGTGTGGCTTTGTGGAACTCGCAGGCTATGTGTCAGGTCCTTTGTTTTGGTTACTGCAAGCTCACTGTTTACTTATGGAAGTTCCTATGATCCACAGTTGATAGACCAAAAAACCGAAGTTCAGAGAAATTAAGGGTTGCCCAAGCTCACATAGTCAGTGAGTAGTAGTCAGGATTCACATCCAGAGTTCTATTACTTTCTATTGATGAATAATTGTGGAAAGTGCTAGAAACACTTGTTCTAATGTGGACATTAGAACCAAAGTGTAGAGGAGATTTTTTTTTTTTTTTTTTTTGTACTGGGAATCAAACTCAGGACCTTGAACTTGCCAGGCAGGCACTGTGCCACTGAGTTATGTCCCCAGCTCCCAAAGTCTATAAATTTGTCAGTAGGTTTATTTTCTAGTTCTTATTTTCCTGTCTGTAGAACCTTGGAAAAGCTACTTTGCTTCCCCAAGTTTGGAGAACACCAAACAAAGGGGTTGTTCTCAGGCTCCTTCTGAAATTCCAGTATTCTGTGGTGCTGTAGATGTTCATAGCTGATTTGATTCTTCTTAGATATCCCGGTGTGTGGTGCATCTTCTTTCAAGGATCACTGGTATAACAAGCACCTCTGCAGCTCCACAGGAGTTAACAGTTACTGCCTTTGGTGCAGTGTGCAAGTTTGGAGAACTTGAATTTCCAAAGATATGGGCATATTTTTTTAAATGATATTTTATCTTGGTTAATGAATGTAATCTAAGAAAGTTGATGGACCAAAACCGTCTGCTGCAGCAAGCCTCACTTTTTGTCCACTTTCATTTCTTTGACAAGGTGGTAGGGTCATGAGGTTCCTTACTGAATTATGTGTTTGGTAGTTTTCCAGATAAAAAATGAATGATCTGTTCTACATTATGAGGCTGTGTCATGTGAGAGGATAAAGGCTGATTTAGAAGGAAAGAGGTCCAAGGTTTTTATTAGATTTTGGCACTGACTTCCATATGGCTCTGGGCACCATCACCCTACTAACTTGCTGCCTTCTAGTTTATTATTTGTAAAGTTGGTGGATAGGCAGAGATTTGGTGAGATGAATACAGTACAGAGAATAGATTAAGTAGTATGAAAGAAACCACATAAATACAAGATGCTAATATTTCAGTAAACTTAATTTCCTATTCTATATAATTTAGGAGGAAAAAAAGGAGCAAGAAAAGGAGCTCATCAGTTGAACACTTACTCTGTACCAGGAACTTTTAGATGCTTGACATACCCAGGGAATGCAGAAAGGTACAATGATTACATTTATACCTTGGTGTCACACATAAGCATGTAATTCAGTTTCAGCTATTCTGCTTTGAGCTGTGTGACAGTGGCAGTTGTCTTTGCCTTTCTGAATCTCAGAGAGCTCATCTGAAAAACAAAAATTTATGGAGCAGTGTGATAGCATACAAGAGCTTCTGATGCTTAGTAAACACCCAGTTAATACTAGCAAATGTTGCTGTTTCCTTACTTCCCTTTCCCAAATAGGTCAGAACATCTTTCTCTTTAGGATTGAGGAAATTGAAATTCAGAGGGATGAACCTTTGGCTTTGGGTCGCATAGCTGATAAGTGGTAAAGCTGTGAAGAAAATAACACAACACAGGAGTTTTGAGTTACAGAGAATAAGCATAAATTCCTACGCTTCTTTTGCCAGTTTGTTATGTTTTGTTTTGTGTTGGTGGTGGTTGCAGAGGGGGAGAGGATGCTATGCAATGAGTGAGGGACAGTGCTGAGCTACATTCCCAGGGCTTTAAGAAAGTTTTTGAGACAGTCTTCACTTCGTTGCCCAAGCTGGCTTCAAACCCACTTTTTTTCCCCCCTCAGCCTCTTTTGTAACTGAGATTACAGGCATGTGCCACCATGCTTGGCCAGTTTCTGATTATAAAATTTCATGTTTAGTTCTGGGTAAATTTGCCTTTCCTGATTAATCATGATTCTTCCTCTGCCTAATGATAGTTGCAGGTTTGCTTTTTGCCTTAAGTCTGGTTGCTTAGAACTAAATTTCATTTTTAGTTGCAGCAGATTTCAGCTGCTGTTTCTCAGTCATTGTACTCCTCTGATCTTACATTCTTATTTAAATGAGTCTGTTGAGTGTGTTACTTTCAGATAATCTGCCTCTGATCTTTTTGGGAAGTGGGTGGAAGATAAATCCGAAATCAGTAACAGGTCAGGCTTGCAACCTGAGTGGTCCTTATCAAATCCTCTTTTTGCAGCCCTGAGGATCAGGTGTGTAGCAGTAATTTTTAATTATGGCTCTCATTTCAGACATTGTTGTGCCTCAGAGACTTCGAATTATTTTGTTCTCCGGTGACAGTGTATATAGTTTGACATTCTTCTCTGGAAAATATTCTTTGGGATTTTAGAATACTCTTTTTCTATTTATGTGATCATATTTTTGATGTCATTTATTAGCCACCTATATTAGAGATATGTCATCTGGAGGGGCTGAACTGAAGACTTTGTAATTCTCCAGATTCACCGAATAGTAGCAGTGAGGAGCCAGTTTACTTTGTTCTTTTAATGACCATGTTTTAATGATCTTACTCCATGTTCTGCCGGGAGTGGAATGGTTGCAGGTTGGCTATGATGGGCAAAGATATGAATGTATATTGTGAGGGTCCTTGGTGTCACTATTGCGGCTTGACGCTTTGAGTGTTTGTTTGCAGCAGAGTTGTTTAGTGGTGGGCAGCTTAGAGAAATGGACATTTCAAAGCTAGATAACCATCTGTAGCACACCCCTGCTTGGCCTCCTGACCCAAACTTGACGTCGTTGTTTTAGGACAAGGGCAAGAGTATTTTAAAACTGTAGTTATTATATTTTTTTGTCACTGACTTAAGTTACTTTTCTTGTTGCTAAGACAAAATACCCAGTACCCAAAGTTAAAAGAGTTTAACTTTTTTATTTGGCTCAGAGTTTGAAGAGGTTTTAGTTCAGAGTTGATTGAGTCCAGGGCAAGGTGGCATGGCAGAGTGTGTTGCAGAAGAGAAGCAGTCTGTGGCAAAGGGGGCAGGCAGAAGGCAGCAGGCAAACAAGGTACAAGTGACAAGCCCTGATACTCTTTCTGTCCCTTGAATCTTAGCCAGACTACCACTGGGAGGTAACATTCATACCTTTAATCCTAGTATCTCATCCTTGATCCCAGAATCATACACCCTACATCCAGCCACCTTGGAAAACCCCACCTGTGATTGCATGAGGCTTTGAGGGGACATCTAGATACAAACCATAATAGTCACTATGACAAACTATCTTAGGGAAAGAAGATTTATCTTGATCATGGCTTCAGTCCATGGACATCTGGCTCCATTGGTTTTAGGCCTGTTGCAAGGGAGAAATAGCATGGTAGAAGGACATGGTGGAAGAAAGCACACATTCTCCCTTCCTTTCTTTTCCCCCTTGGTTCAGAACACACAGATATACACACACATACACTGGATGTGTGTACACTCAATGGTGCCCACATTCAGGGTGGATCTCCTCCATTAGTTTGTTGTCACATAGACCAATCTGTGGTCTCCATAAACCTTACAGGCTCATCCTAAAATGTGTTTTACTAATTTCCTGGGAAGTGCTCAATTCAAATTGACAATCAAAATTAA